AGCCTGATAATCACAGACATTTATATCATTTCTCTTTGTAATATAGTGTTTTAATTAGCTCTTCCTCTGACTGAATTCCTCATCACTATTTTATGAATCACTGAAATACATTCACATTACATTCTTTCATCACATAGTTTGCCAATGAAGATTTTTGGAACTGATGTTTCTCTTCTCTCCAAGTATCTAACTGTCCAGGAAAAACAACCTCACTAGTCGTAGAAGGGTGAGCGTCTTATTAAATCGTGTATATAACTGAGAACTTTCAAGAATAAATAATAGATGGTTTACTCTGAGTAAAACCACTTTAGATTGTTTAATGTTAATCTGGTTCTGGCCTCTTCAATATATCGAAACCGTTATCATTCAGTAAACACACCAGTAATAAACGTTTCCAAGATAATTAGTGAAGTTCATCAACATCAATATATTGATTATATAAATGTAAAAATAGGAAATATATGTGGCTGGGCTAGTGTTTCTTTTGAACGCTGACTTTTAATTGTAAGGTATAAACTATTAATAACTAAAGAATTTAAGTTCGAAGATATTGAGTATTTCGTAAAACACCACTGTCTGTAATATAAAAGACACCATATAGAGAAAGGGAAGAACATCAAGCCCCTACAATTTTCGCCAACCGTGATAACTGGTAGATAGAATAGTGTTCACAACAGTATTAAGTGTAAAGGATGCTCACTGATGGCAGTATTGGGAATGCTCAAAGTACTTCTGCAGTCTTACTGGTTCTCAACCACACGGTCTTTGTAGCTGAGCATGGGATAGCCGAGATTTCTATTCAACAGTGAACATGAAAAAGCCAGAAACTGAAGACGCGATAGCACATAATCGGTGTAGTAAAGCTCCATCATGCAGATGTGGTAACTTCTTCATTTTCATACCAAGTATATTAATCTGTCAATAACACAAATGTGTTTTTTCAGAAGCTCAAAATAGCATATTGCTGACTACCATATAGGATAAGTCAGTATAGATCTCATAGAAAAGGTAGTCACATCATTATAAGTCTACAACCTCGAGCTTAAGTCTATTATTCTACTAATAAAGATGAATTCATTTAATGCTGACTCAGACTGTAAGTACACGATAGCATAACGCTATTTTCGTCCAGTTCCTACGGTCCTTTACGTGTTGAACAAGGACAAGGTTCAAGGTCATGTCTGTAGCTGTAAATAATCCCAAGAACTGATAGTTCCATGCGTCTTCAATAGTGACCTTACTAGTTGAACTGGCCAATCGCTTTCTGAAGAAATGTAGTCAGACAACCAGCGGTCACCTCGTGTCACACACTCCTCCACGAAAACCAGTCACGATTTATCACATACCTCTCCCCGAAATACTAATCATACTAAACTATCAACGAATTCTCTCATTTCAAACCTTTAGGTCGACTAGATTTGGGATTCCTGACCACAAAGTTGTTTCGGACAAAATTTTTGTCGAACCTTGAGTATGCGTGACATTAAAGTTGCCTCATGTACTCAGAGTTCGGAGAGGTCTTTACACGTATTACCTCTATAATCAAAGTATTTCAACGCCGTCAGATCAGAAGTCAGAAAATGAGAAGTTCGAACATATATTTGAAAGGCTTCCGATATATCGACAAGTGTTCAATCTAGGCCAGCTAATGGTCATGAGAGATGTGCAGCATGACTTGGTGTGGATGCGTGACAGAGCTACGTATGTTCCTTTAAACTAATGAGGTCAACACCAAGTTTCGAAGACTCGCAAAACTATTTATTTTGGGGATTTATTTACCACTACACATTTTGATTTCACTTTGAAATTCCATTTCCGAATGACGGTCAAGTTTTACATGAATATGTAAATACTTACAAAGATTTTGTACAACAGACGCTCATATAACGACCAATTAAGAACAATTATAAGGAATTTATATTTCTCATTTATCATATTTTCCTTGTAAACAAAGTATCATAGTTTTTTCTCATTTCACTCCATGAGGCATGACAGAACTGAAAGAAAGAAAACAATTTTTATAATCAGCAGTAAACTCCAGGTGTCTGAAGGATCGTAAGACTGAAATCATTCGGTCAAAGCTCGTTTGATGATTGTTCTAAAAGTAAACAAACTAGAACCGGTTGAAATTCACTCGCAAGCATATATTTTATATTGGAGAACAGTGAAGAATATACAAAAAACGTTAATACCTGACTTCAGCAATCTTTTGTTTAAATGATTACTAATTTAATTAGAGCTAAGAAACGGTAAAGCAAACTTTTGAAGTGAATGTTCGTAGTCCATGCGAGACTTTACGCTGTCAACCTCACATTTAGTTAATCAAATCAACTTCACTTTACTCCTGTATCATCACTGTTGCCATTTGCTCTCATTATTGAATGTCAATGAATTTTATGTATTTAATAGAGCGAACGAGAGTGATATTCTTGGAGATACATCTGAATGATATCTCTAATTCTCATAAATCTAACTAAAATCCTCGTTAATGTTTCTAACCTCGCTCTTTAATGAAGATTAGAAGGTTTGGAATTCATAACAGAATTAGAGGCCAGTATAATAATTTGTAATTCTAGAAATGAGTCTTTGCTTTAAGTATGATCATACTTTAAATGAGGATTCGAATGATAGAAAGCTTCATTATTCTATCTTATGATTACAGACCAAGACGCTTTGACCTATTTACGTTATCTTATCACAGGTTGAGAGATAAACTTATGCTGGCTTACCGTATACTAAACGATGATTTCGCCCACGAATTCCATGGTACGGCCGAGGGTTGGGAGAATTCACTCTTCCTCTCAAAATGCTCTCACATGGCCACACGTGTACAGCCACTACCAGTAAATTCCTACTCACTGCCTTCCCACGTGCAAAGTGTTGTTTACGAAACTGAGTGGACAAAAACCCTGATTCCAAATCAGTGGTGCAAACTAGCTCCATGATCCTGAGGGGACAAATAGAGTATGAACCTATTGTTGGTTACCGGCTACCATGGAACTTCATTTTCTAAAGTTGCTTCACTGCCCTGTTAATTGGTTTTTTAGGTCAGAGTCTCCGGGTGTTGTCTTCTAAGAAAGTCATCTGCTTCAGTTTAGGTGCCCGTTTAGTATCACACACCTCGCATAAATCAGTATCAACTACTAGCCTCGTTGTTATTGTTTGGTGCATATGTATTAGGTTCCCCGTTGTACCAATGTTTTTGTTTTCATATAAATAAATAAATATTAAACGATGATTTTGGCATTAATATGCACTATTCTTTTGGTTCATCTAGGGTTGATCATCTCAGAGAACATTCTAGGAATGTTCAAAAAGGGAGACCAAATCGAAACAGATCGAACAGTGTAGTCATTTGGTAGGATGTTTTACTGAAATAGATAATATCATTCAAAGTTAGATCGCATCTCTACAATACAACATATAACGAGAATTAATTTAGGTTGCCTTACCTCTTGTCTTTTACCCATGTAAAGTACATTCAAGTCAGACTCAAAACACTGCAGGTTACAACACACGAAATCATAATCTTGAGTTTCTTATTTTATCAGACTGTCCTAATCTCATAATTTCGTCATCGCTAATTGTTGTCAATTTTTTACATTTAAAACAAGTGAACATTTTCTGAATTTGTTTTTTTCAGGTGCTGTTCTCCACTCAAAGTGTTCATTGGATTATTCAGAATACGCATATGACACATTTCCACCCTGTGAAGATGCTGACAAAATGTACCAATACTAGTATGTTTACGGTGCGTTTCTATCCTTTAAACGCAAAATTTTACTTCAAGACGTGTCTGTTCCGACACTTAAACTTATGATAAAAAGTGAAGCTCCTGATTTAGTCATCTACTATATTTTTCTTAAAAATCTTAGCTCTGTTGGGTTTGTGCTCGATAAAATATCTTCGTGGATTCAGAAAGCTCAATTTATATTTCTTAAAGTGTGTCGCTTGTTGCGTAGGTGGTATTTTTGTTCACTGATTAGAAGTCGTGTTTACTTCACAGCAGTACACTCTATATTAATCAGCGGCTTTGAAACTCAATCTAAAATGGTGAAAAGAAGGCGCAAAAGTCAGGCTTTTGGTCATGCATGTCTTAAAAACACTTTTTAAACAATGTTGAGACCAGGCATAAGATGACAGGCGAACGTAAGAAATAGGTTAATGAGGGCGTAGTATGCCTGACTGCCTACCTTGACAAAGGTATCAGCTCAAAAGTAGGTTGAAGGTGAGCTAGGAGCAGCCAAAACAAATGTCACATCAGTCCATTAGGTCACTGTAGTTTGGTGCAGACTACCCAGTTGGAGTTTTCGTATTAACCGCGGTTAATAGTCGAGAGCCTTGGGCGATATAGCTGACAATCTTTCGCAATAACTCAGATCCATTCGTCATTTATCTGTCTCACGATCTTGAATTCCGGTTTTCCTTTGTTTAAACACCTCCGCTCTTTTCAAATCCAACTTTCAATGTTTAGGCTCTGTTTTATATAATTAATACTATGTCATTTCGGTCTCATTTGTTGTTCTCATCTCGTTGTACTAATCAAGTATGGAGACTTATGGTAATCACAGACCTTATGTTAATAATGTCTGTCTTCCCGTTTCTAAATTAATCTATGATCTTCCATGCACGTTCAAAAATTGCCCAATGTACTTTTGGGTTAAATCCAAACAGTTACATGTACTTTTAATTGAAGAATCTATTATCAATGAAATTACAGAGATCCGATTGAGTTGAATACCGCGTGCCTTCAGATCTTTTGCATAATATTTCCAGTTTTATTATTTGTGACTATTCTAAACTACATATTTTATGGTTACTGATTTTTTTAAATAAAATAGCACACAAATTTCATTGCTTCTATCTCCCTTGTTTTATTTGCTTTTGTATTTTCCAGACCCTTAGACAGTCCGAATGGTCATTCCTTACTATACCTAAATAAATTATCATTGAAATTCTTATTGTATTTTTATGGTCAAATACTAGTGATACATGTAATAATGTCTGGACGTTGTCTGAGCAACATGAGTGAACAAAATCTTGTTTGTTTACTGCAGAAGCCCTCAAAAAACCGTTCACAAGTCATCTCATATCAGCTATCAAAGATATTTAAAAATTTGTATCAATTTTCGGCTTTAGATGATGACATTATTTCATACTTGCAGGCTGCAAAAGACAGTGATGATGAGAAACATTCATTGTATATAAAAGAAATTGATAAGGTAGGGAATATTATAAAAGCTCAATATTTTTAGGTTTTGAAAAAGCATAAAAATGTTATTGATGAAGTGAACGCTGCAGAATCGCGAATTAGGGATTATAGTTTGAATAAACATTTGTTTCAAAACTCAGAAAACGTATCGCCAAGGCCAGTACCCAGCAATTCGCTTAGCTTTGACGAGATTGATGGTTTGTAAATGATTTTCCTTCACTGGGCGTAGATTCATTTTTAGGTGAGCTTGGTATTTTGACGAAAGAAGATATCTATTTCAATGGAAAACCAAGAAGCCATGGTAAGATAGTTTCTGTGTGAGTATTTCTGTCCATTTTGATGTGTTAAGTGCTTACACGTGTCAAAGACTTTACTATATTTCTATTTGACGTGATAAAGAACTCAGTAATTTGTCAGCTTTTTTCTCAATCTACTGATCCTTCACTATTTGAAGTAATACAAAATATACACAGATAGGACGGTCTATAATGTAAAAAGCATATATCAATGAATACAAACGCCACAATGTATCAAGACATTGTTAGAACTAGTGTAAGTCCGTAATAATTAATACGTTCTTTATATAGTGTGTCCACTAAACATGCACTTTTGTTTTTATACAGATACAAATCCATTTTTCTTTGGACAGATAAGAAGCTCATAAAGTAAACATGTGATTGTAGTTCTATTAAATACTTTACATTATCTAGGAAGATTATCCAGCTATGTTCATTTCCGAGTTTGTGTCTGTACATTTAATATATTGTTAATTATTTTCTAACCAGTTCTCTTTCTGCTCGCGTATATTCCACACTTAGTTTATTTTATATAGAACATGAATCAGGCTTAAGTGGTTGGATTTTGCTCAAGTCATTTCTGTTCACCCGGATAGTTTTCTGTCCATATTTTAGTGCTTGATCTAAAATCTTCCAGGTTCTTCAGTGTCACCGTTGTACAAGTAGGGATAGTTAAAGTATCATATACGGCATTAACAATATGCTCAGCTTAACTAAAGCTTTGAATGCATACGACTTTATGTTTATACTAACCTTATTTCATGTGGTCTTGGATGTTAAAAGTAGCCACTGAAGAATGTACAATTTTCTCTACTTATTCATCAGTAAAATGGTCATATTTCTGTTTCTCATCTTAATCAGTACATATTTTATGATAAGGTTGCTTTCTCAATTTTTGAGAATTGTGGGAAGTAATAAATTCTTCATATCCTTATATTTTGCACTGACCGACAAAGCCGGATCATATATATTTTAGATAACAAGTGCTATAACGTAATACTGGATGTTAAATATTTGAAATTAAATCAATCAATAGCATGTACTATCAGTAATTACACAGAGTAGACGCAAAATGTTTTTACTTTTATTGAAAATTTAATAAACAAATGTACATTTCTCGTTTTTAATGGTCTACTTCCTGAGTAGTATTGTGAGCTGAGTTGCTGGAATTTAACTCCACATACTTAATCATTAGATCACAAGTTGCCACAAGGTGAAGAAAAGTTATCAATCATAAATAAACAATGTTACCATTACAAAAACACTTTTATTCACTTCTACATTAACTTCATCATTGGATGCATTATATATACGCAATCGAAAAAAATTAACTTTAGATCATAAAGGATTACTGTGTAATGCCTTTTCTGTATACTAAAATTTAGGCATTTTCCTAAAGTTCCAGCACCTGAAATTTTGAAGATTTAGCAAATGAATGTTTATTTATTACAATAATGGGAGAAAATCACCCGCATAAATAGATCTTATTTACGTAGTATTTGTATCATGTGATATCTGACTACTATCCAAGCATTAAGTGACTGTTGGTGGTATCATGGTTATAGCATTTGCCTTTCATAAGATGCTTTAGAAATCAGCTAATATACTGCTTGTGTTTCAAAGAGGAAAACTAAGATGAATAAGATTAACTATTAACAACTCTATCAATAATGAAATAGCACCGTTAAGTTCAGGTAGAAGATTAAACTCAAATTGATAAGTAATTTAACAACATCATACTCATAGGTTTTGTACTGTATTTGTAGAAATGTTATTTCGAATGTATAAAATTTACAAAAGGATGTGATTAACACCATTCTGCGTGATTTGTTTATTGTTTTCGTCAACGTTATGTAGATTTCCCAGTTGTAAAAAGTTCTAAAAGTCATGAGGACGTTGAGAATATTAATGTTTTACCAGCAATCAAGTCAGTTGTAAAATCTAGTGGGAAAATCGATCAACTCAAAAACTTTAGTCCTAAGAGTTGTTTAAAAAGTGATGATGTAAGTTATACACTTTCTAAAACTGAATCATTATATATACCATTTTAGTGTCATTACACATTTTTGTAGTTCTATTAAATTATTTTTTAGGTTTTTGGATTATATTTGATGTAAAATGTAATCATGTTAGTGACAGTTTAAATCAATGAACACTCATCTTAACGTCGAATATACATTTCGTTGTTTGCAAACCATTAGATATTTTTGTCATTATAGAAGTATCTTGACTTTTAGTACTATAATATCCATTCGTTGTTCTGTATGTTTTATTAAATGCAGTCTTGAAACATTTGAATTAGGCTTACTCGTTAGTAATCTTACCATAGTTTCTATGTCCTATGTGTTAAAGCAGCGTCCAGTTACTGCTGGATTTATTTAGGTTGACCAACTTGGAGATTGTCATTTTAACTCATATTTAAAATAATGATGAAAAATGTAGCGGTTCGTTACAAGCATCTCATCACAGTTTTCCATTTGATAATTAATCTCTACTGTTTAGGTCGTTTTGTGCTTTCAATAACATTTTAAAAACTTCCATAACCCATATCGATAATTATTATATGCTCACTAGTGACTAACTTCGAGGGAAAATTTCAAAGTCCTAGTGAGAAGCCATGAGTAGTGAGCTCAATGGTATAGGGTATAAGGAAAGTATCCACCAAAGTTAAACATGTATATCATCGGACGCCAGCCTAGTTGTTTAGAGTTTTGGCGCTCCCGTCAATACCGAAAGTCTTCGTTTCGAGTGGGGCAGTAGATGCGAAACGATCAAGAGCTCCATTCTAGGACGGAATGTTTGTCCATTGCTTCCTGCTTTTATTCAGACCAATTTGTGATCTCCATACCATTCAACAAACTCCACAACCCATATATATTTCTTTTTTCTGTTTTAACTATTCAGGTATCATACCACTTACTGTATCATTCTTAAAAATGTCAGTTACTACAGCATTTAATATGATGAAGTAATAGAAAACTGATGCTGCATTTTTTGTATGAAGATTTAGTTAGAAGTTTATTAAACTCCATGCATTTTACCGATTGTGATTTTATTAATTATGACCCTAATAACTAATCTATTAACATACTTTTATTCATATCTGCAAAACCTTCCTTTAAATGATTGTTTCTCACTTCAAGCAATTCGGTTACAGGCTCAAACTCAGGTCTATCTATTTCAATCTGATTATTTAAATAGAATCTGTGTAATTTATACATGAACTTCAGGTTGAACCGAAAAGTACAATTTTTTACTCAGTCATTAAGCCTGGTTATTTTCATCACAATATTATTGCCATTGTAAAACATTGTGAAGTTAAAACCAGAATTTGTTTTATAGATAATATCAGACATAAATTTAACACCTTCTACAAGATCACTGATTTCATTTGGGAAAAGAACAAAAGAAAATAGACCGCTATTTCAAGCTGAACCCGAATCAATTATTTTTAGATCTTATCTAAAAGGAAACACGTATGAGGTAATATTCTATGTAACTATATATTGGTCAATTTTAATACAGGCTATTGTTAAGGTACGCAATATTTCTGACACTAGTCGATCAATTCGAGTTCTTCCACCAAAAACAACAATTTTTTCAATTAATGAAGGTAAGCATGTACTAAATGAAAATGAGTTATTTTACGTATTAATTACAGTTTGACTGTTAGTCAATTTGTATGAGATGACTGTTGTTTCTCATATAAGGATTTTATGAAATGTAACGGTATTTTCATAACAGAAATAATTTCCGAGTAGACATCACTGTGACCTACTGATAACTACACAGTATCGGACTTGGCATTCACCGTTATTTATAACATCAAACTGAATCTCCAGAAAGGTGTACGCGTCTTCTTTTACTTCAAAGAAGCGTCGATGGTATTCTTTAGAACGGCAGATTTGTATATAAAAATCTGTTTACCATTTCGTTTTATTTGCCATGTCCCTAACATGGTTTATATTTGTGAATTTCTCTAAGCGTTCTCCTTCATAGTTCAAATGCGTCAACATTGTCGTCTAAGCCAATAACAGATTAAAATAGCTAACATTTTTAGACATAATATTGTCTAATTCATTCCTTATTTGGACCATTGTAATACAATAATTATTGACTTATAACTGTATGAATTGATGACTTTGTTAATAACACGATAATATTCTTTGTATTTGAATAATCTATGAGCATATTTAAATTTCTTACAAAATATATTTTAACAAGCAATACTATAAAGCATGTTTTGCCAGGTTATTAGTTAACATAATCCATATTCACTTTTTTTGCATCTTGTCGAGGAGCATAGGCTGCGCACCAGCACTCTCCATTCAACTCTGTCCTGAGAAATTCTTTCCAGTTTTTCTCCAGTTGCTACTCATCCATTTGATGTCCATTTTCAACTCCCGAAGTAATGTGTTCTTTAGCCATCATCTTTTCCGTTTCCCTTCAGGATTCCAAATTAGCGATTGCCTCGTGATGCAGTTTAGTGATTTCCGTAATGTATGTCTTATCTACTTCCAACTTCATATCCTAATTTCCCCTTCAACTGGGAGTTGGTTTGTCCTCTCCCATAGTAGGCTGATCAAGGGCCATAGAGTATCTTGCGTATACAATTGTTCATAGATACCTGTACAATTTCGATGATGGTTGTGGTAGTTCTCCAAGTTGCAACTCCGTACAGTAGGACTATATTGACGTTCGTATTGGAGATTGTGACTTTGATATTGTTTGACAGTTGCTTTGAGTTTCATATGTTCTTCAACTGTAAGAATGCGGCTCTTGCTTTGCCAATCCTCGCCTTTATATCTGCTACTGATCTTTCTTGATCATCGATGATGCTGTCCAGGTATGTGAATGTTTCCACCTGTTCCAGAGTTTCTCCATCAGATGTTATTGAGTTGGTTTTGTTCGTGCTGTATGTGATGATCTTGCACTTTCTTTCTTGTATGTTGAGACCTATTGTCGCAGAGACTTCTGCTACACTAGTTGTCTTCATCTGCATTTGTTGATGTGTATGTGATAAAAGAGCCAGGTCATCTGCGAAGTCCAAACAGTCTCTTTGCATGCAAGCTGTCCATTATATACCGTGCTTCCTTTCAGATGTTGAGGTCTCCATAATCCAGTCAACCACTAGAAGAAAGAGGAAGGGGGGAGAGTAGACAGTCTTGTCTGACTCCGGTCCTCACTTGGAATGCATCTGTCAGCTGTCCTCCATGCACGACTTTGTAGGGTAGTCTGTCGTATGAATTCCTGGTGTTGTTGACGACCTCAGGTAGTGCATGGTGTAGAAGAAGTTATCATAATAATCTCATATTCACATTGTCGAATGTTTTCTCATAATCAAGGGAGTTGATGTATAATGACTAGTTCCATTCAATTGACTCCTCAACGATGATTCGTGGTGTCGCAATTTGGTCTGTGCACGACCAATCCTTACAGACTCCAGCCTGTTGATCTCGAAGTTTGGCGTTTACTGAATCTTTCATCCGGAAAATAATCCGTAATATCCCTGAAATCAGTTACGCTTGTCAATCAAATTACGTTTTGTGTTAAATCAAAATGAGGTCATTTTTAATGCTAAACAGAACTAACCTAATTCAGTCTTTTTTTTCCAGTTGAAAGTATATAGTTACGATTTCCTTTAAAGATCACGAACAGATAGTTTTAACTATTTTAATTAAATTTTACCTGAACGCTAGTTAAATTTTTGGGAGTAGTCAAGAAGCAATTATATATACAGAATAACCTATGTTCATGCATGACTAAACATCAACTATAATACTTTTTCTTAACATTGTAAAGTGAGATTGGTGACAGAATATTACATAATGAATATATTCGATAAAGATTAAAATGATTATCTGTTACTTGACTAGTTAAAACGATTGGTGGGGCAGAGGATGTAAGTCTTGTGGACCAATCACTATTTCAAGAATAACATTTAGCTTAATCATTTTTGGAGTCTAGAGCTATTCGTCTGATGAAGTTTGGTGGATTTGCCCTTTAATCAAAATGTCACTTTGTATGTGTACGAATATAGCATAGATGGAGACTATAAATGTATTTTGCAAGTTGGATGTAATAGTTTGTATGTTGATTGACGGTGATCGACAGTTAGCTATAGATTTAAATCGTCTGGTAGTTGGTACAGTAGGACATACCGTAACTAAGTTATTCAGATAACCACTGACCTTCTATACAACTCAGATGTTTACATTTGTTGATTACTTAAAGATGGCCAATACTTTATCATTTGACTTACCGTAGCGTTCAATAATTGTATTTTTTGTTGTTTTGGAAAAATCAAAAGGCAAATTTCCACGACCAGGTAGTAGTATAATTGCACCGGGAATGGCAGCTGTATTCCTAGTACAATTTTTCCCAGATAATGTTGGTGATTTTGAAGATGAATTTATAGTTAAATATGAAAATCAATTGGAACCACTTTGTGTTAAACTATTAGGACAAAAATCACGTCCACAACTTAATAGTAAGTTTTCATACTTTTATCATTACAAGTGATAACTTAATTTTTCTGTATTGTTCAACTGCACTCATTGCTCTATTTTAAGATGTATGGGTGAATAACTAATATCACATACCTTAATTCTTTAGAATTGTCTCATTTTTTTACTAAATCTAAATGTAGTTGTGTTGATTATATGGTGGAGAATATTTGTCGCTCAGTGGGATGATTTTGTTGAAATTGTGTTGACAAACCTACCTGGTTTAATCGTATAGCTTTTATTGTATTTCTAGACAATATCACCAGCAAAACGAGAGACAGAGGAGAGCTTTGTGCATTTTTCTTCAATTGACTAACAGCTAGTTCAGACGATCTTGAACGCAATTAATTATTTTTAACACTTGCCTTTTCATTATTTTGATTGTCTTTCCCTTGAACGTAAATTATAGCCTTACAGCTAATTATATTTTATCTGATTAGTTGACAAGTTGAGTCTACTTAAAATAGTTATTAATTTCTACCTGACTTGAGTGGTAGGTTCAAAGAATTCTCTAGTATCTATTTAACTGGCTTCTTCCAAGATTTTCACTTCTTCACACCTGGACGTTTATCCTCAGTTGTCTATGCATATTGATTAAAAGTTAGAATTATCATGTTATTTGACAGCTAGTTGATATTTATACAAACGAAAATGATTTGATGTTTATCACAGTTGTATATGATATTTGGCTTTCATTCTTTTCAATTTTTATTTTAAAAAACTGATTGAATTGTAAGCAAAGGTGGATAGTGGCTTACAGTGGAATCCAGGATGCGCGTTTCATTCTATTTGGGACTCGTCAGCTGGATGTACCTGTATCTCAGAGTTAATGTTTACTCTGGGACTCGAAATGAGTACCTTTCGCTTTATCCACTCAGCTACTGGATTCCACTGCTAGCCACTATCCACTTTCGCCTATAATGCTTATGAATCAAGGCTATATCGAGGCAATAGGCACAGTATGCACATATGCCAATAAGAGACTGATCAATTGCAGTCCTAAGCGTTATTGGGAAGATTCAAACAAACAATAACATGTGATTGAGTTGTGTTACCTAATATATTAGTAAAAAGCCTAAACGATCCTACGTTTATTTCTAAAAAAAAACCCAACATAATTAATGAATTTAAACATTGAAAATGAATTAGGCTAGTTATAAATAACATCATAATTTAATATCTAATCTATCGGTTAAGGGCTCTGGCTCGAAACTGGTAGATCCCGGGTTCGAATCTCGCGAGTGCGGGATCGTGGATGCGCACTACTGAGGAGTCCCATAATAGGACGAAACGGCCGTCCAGTGCTTCCAGATTTTCGATGGTGGTTTAGCTTCAATTGACTCATGATTTCAACTTTTAATTAAAATAATCTTTAAAAAGATCATTAAGCTATTTCTGTTCAAAGATAATCTAATGATATCAATGATAAAGACTTTAACTAGGATTATTAATCATAGGGTCAAGATTTCAATTTTTTAGTTAGAAGATGCTGACAGATATATTGAATGCAAATAAGGCTAAACCCTATCAGAGATTTAAAGAAAGTCTATTTAAGTTATTATTAGCTTTATTCACTATTATAGTTTTGGTACAATATAGAATTCTGAACACAAAGTATGTCAACAAGTTTCCTTTTCTTACTTCTTTGTCGATCCTGACGATAAATATTGAATGATAGACCGTTAGAAGTTAGCAGTCCAGTGAATCGACATCTGAATAATGTGCATACTTTTTGCTGCATACTTCTAGTAACCACGATATCTCTGATTGGGCCTTTTGTAACTTGTACAACGAAAGGTTGTACATTTTTCAGAAACGCACTTGATTAGGTAATGTGATTAATGGCCATGATGATGTATTAAAACAAACAAAATTAGATAACTTCCTGAATTATGTAGAAGGCAGGACATGGTAGCCTGGATAGGTATCATTACTAAGCTTGGATTTGATAATTTTGAATAAATTGAGTGTTGGGTAGATTGTTATAAATAAATTAATATATTTGTAATATCTCAATGAGTAGAAAAATTAGATTTTCTGACGTTTCGTGACTCAGTGTAAGCCACTTCTTCAGAGAATAAATAAAAATTATTTATAAATAATTTTTAGCTTTGGAAACTATTTTAAACCTACAAAAAGTGTTTATATGTATATATATCTATGACCATAACGAGTAACCATAGGTCACTAGACCTGTGTAACTTATTCAACCATTATTATTCTATAGTATCATTGAGCGCTGATATACTATTGCATTTTTTTTAAAATTTTGTTTTTTACAATGTCTCATCAATTAAAGTACTTGATTGTTACGATATGGGTTATGCATTAAAGGGCGGTGAAAGAGTAAACACTATTCAACTAAAGAACTGTAATGCAGAGATTGCATCTAACAGTAAATTCCTTTTTATTACAAAAGAAGCATTTAGTAAATGTCAACAGTATGATGCAAATACTTTCACGGTAAGTGAATTGTCGACATTTATTTTTGATATAGTAAGTTTAATAAATTAACTTGTAATTATCTATTTTTGGCTAACAAAAGCTTGCAAATACTACTTCACACTGTAATGTACTGTATAGTCAGCTTCTCTGATATCATTGGTGTCAAACCTATCACTTAATCAAGTTTCGTTATGAAATTAAACATTGTGATTTGATCAACACAATTCCAGTTTCTGAAATATGTAAACAGAATCCCTATTGATAAATGACATACAATGATATATTATGGCTGATTGGTGGCTGTTCATGAGAATAAGAATAGGTCTTTTTCTATTATAAAATGAAGTACTTACATACAAAATTCTAATAAAAAAATGAATATGTCTAAATGCTATATGCTTTCAGAGGAAATCCAACTTGTAGATCACTCTCATTTCCAACAATTAAGACTTAGACGATCACGTCGTATTCATAATAACAAGAAAAATTTACGAAATCTTACTTAAAATACTATTTTTATAGTTGGTTTTCAGTAAAAATAGTCAACTTTAAAAGCATTTCATATAAGGTATAAACAATGAGAGAACAAGGAAATCCTTTAAGTTCTACCATAATATGTCAAGCAACAAAATCTAAACATAAAAACTAAAAAAGCATTAATCATCATTTCAGACATGCAAACAGATTAACACATCAAGAGGGACTTTCGCACAGAAATGCAACTTTTAATTACTTTTTGTTCAAAAGTAGTAAATTGTTTGTTTAATTCAGTAAGTTAATTACTTAACGACTGAGTAATATAACTTAATAGCACACATAGTTATCGAAAAACAATCCTGTTGGTTGAAAGATGACTTGATCTAACTGAAGTAGGAACGTCAAATACTCTAATTAGTGAATTGTAACAAAGCAGAAATAAGAGTTATCTAAGGTATGGTGCTTGTCATGAAACCTGGGGGTCCTCATTGCGATCCTATATATATATTTATATATTGTTTGAAACTGACCATCTTGTGCATACTACTTACGAGTCTAGTAATCTATTCAAAACTTTAGTACTCACATCTTTCAATGTTACTTTGAACACTTTCTATTTATTTCAAAGTGGATTATTTACATCAGCTAATCAAATATAATTGGTGCGTTAGAGACCTCAGTAACCGTTTAGATATCTTATTATATAGTCAATATTAATCATATGGCAGCACATCGAAAGAAAATAATGAATCCATTTTTGTATTGTTTGTTTAAATCTTCTTATCGATGTTTGGAACTGTAACTAATCAGTCTCTTATTATAATATATATAGATGCAATCCGCACAGGATGCACATATACTGATAAGAGACTAATCAATTGCAGTCCTAAACACAAATGGGAAGATTCAAATGAACGGTGTAAAAAAATTAATAGTTGACCCCACTGCACAAGCCATTGGCTTCCAGAACTCACTAGCTAAGTGGATAACACTATGGCGTTTGATGCGAACGGTATTGGGTTGGAGTCTCGGAGTGAACATCAACACTGGGATGCAGGTACATCCACCTAACAAGTCTCAGACAGGAGGAAATGTGCGTCCTGGATTCCAGTACTAACCATCAGTCATTTCTGTCTAGAAAATAACTATCAATTGCTGTTAAAACGTATCTCCTGGTTATTCGTAGTAATGGTCTATATGTTGATAGAAAACGTAGCTGAGTGACTGGATTTCAATACATACCTAAATTTGACAATTTAAAAGCTGAAGCGTCTCAATAACTAACAATTAGTAACAACTTTCTACGATATGTAAATTTTATTTGGAAAATGTTATTAGTTAATAGAAAAGAACTTTTTTTTCTGAAATATTGTGCCTTCTCATAGGAATTTTACTCAATACATGTGAATTCCTCTTCAACTAGTTTATGCTCGGAATCATTTTCTCTCAAACCAAACAATTTCCATTTGGATTCATTGCAATCGATTACAATAACAGTAGAATTTAAACCATTATGTGTAGCAGAATATAAATGGGAACTTGTATTGATTTGTGATAATGGTCAATTTTTCCCGGTGACATTCAAAGGTAGTTACCTGTTATTCACTGTCATTCTAAGATTTTATATTTTGAATAGGCAACTTGTAAAATTTATTTCAGTTTGAAGATAATTTAAAACACAGATTGATGTTAGCCGGGTCAGTGGACAGCTACATCATCATCTCGAGACTGAGCCTAGTACTTCAAATAACCGAGTAAGAGTCCTATTAATCATATTTCCAACATTAGTTCATTTGTGTTTAATCAAAAGAAATAATACATTCATTGAAAGACCTGGAGGGGTCATAAATTCACACTGTTGAAGAATATTAAACTAAGATCAATAAAAAATGATTTTATCTTGCTCATTGGTCTCAGTGAACATCATAGTGTAATAGGTAAAATGATACGAAATTTGTAACAGGGTGTTTGAGAGACTTTTAGGAACATGGTATCTCATTTCTTTGGTCAGTATACTTATGTAACTGATCATTACCAGTGTATTATTAATGAGAGAAAAATAAACTGCCTTCAAGATCCTCTACCCATTTATGAAAAAAATCTTTTGGTTGACGATGCTTACAAGTAAACAAAATTTTAAGCAATTAACACTTAATTACATCCAACCTATGTAAATAATAAATTGGTATGTTATAAGTAATTGTCTCATTTTATTATATTTTGTTTCAAAGATTAATTGCTAAACGCTTATTACTATTTCAAATGTATGAATCGCTTACTTACTTACGCCTGTTACCCCCTCGTGGAGTAGCATACGCAGCACACCAGCATTCTCCATCCAACCCTGTTCTGGGCGATGCTTTGCTGTTCTTTCTAGTTGTTTTTCATCTTTTTCATATCTGCTTCCATTTCCCGGCGTAATGTGTTTTTTGGCCTTCCTCTTTTCCGCCCCCCTTCAGGATTCAAAGTTAGGGATTGCCTCCTGAAATGTTCAAATACTAACATGTAGTATGTCCTATGTAAAACGGATAAAACTTCTAAAATATTTAAAGAATGTGAAATTTCGTTAAGTTACTAAATTAATAAAGGACATCTAAAGTAAACTTAATTATTAGAAATAAATAAAATTGTTCATATTAGAAATTTTATGCAGAAAGGAAATTGTTATACCCCGAAGACAATTATGAATGGTAACTTTTGAGAACTATTTATGGACCAATATGATATGTATATTTCGTATTGTACGATTGTTAAGTAACTTAACTATTTATATTCATGTTTCTCGTATTATAAGCTTCATTTTGACCCATAGACTATTATTATCCATCTCTGCTTACCATGCTTGTGAATTAAGGTATATCGAGGCAATACGCACAGTATGCACATATGCCAATTAGAGACTGACCAGTTGCAGTCCTAACACATCGATGAGAAGATTTAAACAAACTATACAAAATGAATTTAAATTTCACCCCATCGCACAAGCAAGTGGCTATCAGGACTCAATGGCCGAGTGAATAACGCGATGGTGTTTGAAGCGAAATGTACTGGGTTCGAGTCCCAGAGTGAACATCAACTCTGAGATGCAGGTACATCCAGCTGACGAGTCCCAAATAGGACGAAACGCGCGTCCTTGATTCCACTGCTAGCCACTATCCATCTTTGCGTATAAAGAGTTGTTTTGTTTTTTTAGTTCAAGAAAACAGTTTATTCTTTATTGCCAAGTTTTACTTCAATTGGATAGCGCATGTAGAAGTAATAAATTTAATTTAAAAAAGTGTTCGATTTTGCTTAAATGGTGAATAAGAATTTCTCGTTAATTTTAGCAAGTCATTGAGTTCGCATTGCTGTCATGATATATGTCAACTAATGTTTATAGGATCCTTTCATATGGCTTCTTAGCAATCACTTTAATATGTAGTTGTGAATATCTTATATCTATATCATTTACTAAATTGGTATTATGACAATGTATTTTACTTTGTAAAATGATATTAGAAGCTGAACTATTGAACAGCAGTCAAAACTCACTTTGTCACAAGTAACATAGATCCTATCATATGCTTACATCGATTCAAGCTGAAAAATCACTTTCAGTACAGAGATATGAAATTACCAAGATAAATACAAAAGTTGAAGAAATAACGACAATTTCAACTGTGATTGAAAAAGTTAGGTCTAGACAATACGATTTTAGGAGAAGAAATAAGCAGACTAATTCTTAATTTCAAGATCTTAAGAACGACAAAGACTGAATGCATTCAAGTCATTGTGACCAATTTCGAACCATGTTACACAATGTCTCTCAATATTGGTCACGATGATCCTGACAACATCAAGGTATACTGCGTCTAGCAATGTAACTTATTCCAACAGTTAATGGCTTTGTTGACTGATGTCACATCTTGGTTTGACCTCCTCTAGCTTTTGTCTAATCTTTTACTACATCATTAAGCATAGTGCACGGTCTGACACTCTCTGTACATATACTTCTCTTCAGTTTGAGTTCACTACATACTAAGCATTCATAAACAAATATATTTAACCATTTGTATTGAAAGTCTAGCCGTTTTCAATACAAACAATTTTTCCCTTCAGTTTTCCAATTATATTATTCTTGAAATAATCTAGGTAGAGGAGAGGAACCTATATTACAAATAATCGATATTATTGATCAGAATGATTTATCTACTTCAAATAAATCATTAACTAATTTTAGAAAAATTGATACTAATTCAAATGATCAGTTTTATTTCTATCAATTCCCAAAACATTATCCCCACACTAATTCACCAAAAACAATGACAATAAGAAATTGTTGGTAAGTAAAAAATTGTTTATTATGTTTTAAGATAAAGTCTCTATGTCTAACATTTTCTAATATCAGTATGAGGTTGTGGAGATTGGTAAATGTTTGATTTAAATCATGAATCGATCAATGATTGACCGCCATCGAAAACCTGGAGGCTATAGACAGTCGTTTCGTCCTAGTATAGGACTCAGCAGTGTGTATCCATGATCATGCACACGGGATTCCAACCTGGTACTTTTGGTCTCACAAACGGATGCTTAACTCCTAATATCATTGATTCTGTCATTAATTCTGTTAAATTTGGTATTTGTTGTGAAATTCTCATCTAATTATACTAATTTACTGTAGTAACTTGAATAAGCTCACATACATACCAGGTTCTTAGTTGTTTATGACTGACCAACGAAACTGAGAATGTATGTAGATAGTAATAGCAAGCTGATGAAATGTACCGAAATAGGATTAAACAAATGTATTTCTTTGTTTTCACTTAATTTTCAAATGATGTTGACTCCTTGCATTAAACTATCTACTGTTGATAATTACGTAAAATCAGTTATATTTGCTACTCATCACTTATTATTTAGCGGTTGATAGAAAATTTTATATGATCCATTAATTTCCCTCTATACTTTTATATCGAAAAACACATAGCTAATAGTGTTATGCATACGTAAAAATTAGTTAATTGGCATAATGGTTTCCTATTTACCTGACTAATACATCAACTCGTTTAGTAAAACAAAAAAGTCAAAGATTATATTTCTATTGTTCAAACTTTATTAATGACCTTAACAAACAATTTATGACTTCATTAATTTGTAGTTAATCATAAGTATCAATCAATGTTTGAAGTACTTTACCGATGTTATATTTTATTCTGTTCAGATCTCCGCCTACCTTCGGTAGAACTGAAGTATTTACATTAGTTTTTCCTAAGTTTAGTAATACATTCTTTAATTTTTATGATCTTGCCTACTTACTTACTTACGCCTGTTACTCCCGATGGTGCGTAGGCCGCCGACCAGTATTCTCCAACCCACTCTATCCTGGGCCTGTAGCTCCTCCGGGGGCTACTGCCGGTCCCAAGCCCGGTTAAAGTAGGAGGGCTGGGCATGGGGTTAGCGACCCCATCTCGTAGAAAACCAACTCGCTAAAAAAACGCTAACCAGAAAAAAAAATGATCTGTAAGTAATTTATTAGCTGATATTTGCATATTTTATACAAAGAATCCTGAAAAAAGAAGGGCGTTGATATTAGGGCTTGCATTCTACTGCCTATTAAGTTGTGGTAAGAAATGTTTAGCGGTAAATATAAAATATCGCCTTAGTATGTGTTTGAATATTGGGATTCAAAAAAAGAATTCACAATGAACGTCGCTTATGTAATAGTGATTATTTGTTGTGTATCTTCAATCGCAAAGTTGTTTTGGTCAGTTTTGTAACTATTACGTTTTCTTCCAATAATATGCTTATGGTATTGGAGAGTGGTCAAATATGGCTTTACATACAAAGGGTTTGTTTATACAAGTAATAGACAAATAAAAAAATATAGCTACTTATATAATGTCTTCGCTTGAGTCCCGTTCTAATAGACACTATGATAGATTGTCAACCTTCTGAAAATATCAGTCGGTAAATGGTAAAGTAAAGTCAATAAAATATTATCATACTATTTACATAACTGACAAACAGATGATCTAAAAATTTAGGCAGGGTATAAATATTATTAGAAATTTCGATAGTGTAATGAGAAGACTAAGATTATCAGACCTATGTGATGATATATTAGCGCAATACATTTCGAACAATCGGATCACACATATACTTGTTAAGAACATTTATGTATAAAAAATAAAAGGTCAACTCGACTGGAAATGGGGTTAAGAATAGGCAAGGATAATAATAATAATGTGAAATCAATTTGAAACCTAATTACTCTGGATAATAAGCTAATATTACCAGGGTAGGTTTAAGTGGAGAACAAACTGTCTTTGAATACACAAAGGGGGTTTGAATTTTCATATGGCTAAGGCTTGGTATACGACTTTTTACACTTTTATACAACACCACAAAAGCCGAGTTAAGATCAATCTTATAGCCTAAATTCGCTAAGTATTGTTTGTTTGAATCTTCCCATTGATGTTTATTATTCGATTAATCACGGATTACCCTTTCGTTAGATTGTTCAGTTTATTCACTACAATGATTTTAATGAAAGTTTATGAACACTTTAAACTAATCTGTTTTGTTATTTTAAAGCTCTTTTATTCTCAACAATTTATTAATAGCTCAGAACCTCTACGTTTTCAATGGATTCAAGAAAATGAATTCAGTGAACCAAATCTTTCAGAGTATACTTCAGATAGTTTAATTAAAAGTGATGATGTATTAAATCAACGTAAATCTTTATCAACAAGTGTAATATCATTATCAGATAAACAAACAGATAATGCTGTACCATTATTATTCACTATTAATCCAACAACTGGCGTATTTGAAACCAATGAAATGAAACATTTTCAAATTTGTTTTAATCCAACTCAAGTAAGGAAGTATAAAATCATATAATAGTATTTTATTATTTCCTTATTTGATATATAGAGAAAAGGTGGATGAGTACTGCTGAGGAGTCCCATAATAAGTCGAAACGGCCGTCCAGTGCTTCCAGGTTTTCTACGGTGGTCTAGCTTCAATTGACTCGTGATTTCAACTATATATAAAAAAGTATTTTTTGTGAATGAACTTTATAACCGTCACCAGTATACTTCAACCATATCTAGAATAAAATAACTATCACGCGATGCCATTCGATATTGGTCTGACTATGTTAAGAAATGAACCTAAGTTAGAAATGGGCAATAATAAAATTCTTTTGTATGCCTTAATAGTGTAGCGCTTATAACAATGCCTCCGTAATTTGGTGCTGAGGAGTCTAAAAATGGGTAGGATTATTTTTAGTATAGTTGATATTTTTTTTACCTATGAAACCCAGAACTAATGTTTCATCTTATTTAGGACTTCAAGCTGGACTTACCTAAATTACAGTGTTGTTGTTCACACTATCGGTTAAGTGCTCTAGAGCGAGACTGGTAGGTGCTGGGTTCGAATCTGGCGAAGCGAGGTCGTGGATGCACACTGCTGTGGAGTTCAACAATAGGACGAAACGTCCGTCCAGTGCTTCCAGGTTTTCTCTGATGGTCTAGCTTCAATTAACTCATGCTTTCAACTTTGAAAATACTAAATGTACACAAAACCCCTTCTGAATGATTAGTTGTCTTTTTTATATTATTAGTAAATCACTTGTCGTAACACTTTGAACACAATATTTAGTTATTGTTTTCTGAACATCTCTATTACAGTTATTGAAAAGAATGCTGTTCTCAGGGTAATATCCTTATTAAGCGTCCGCAACTACACTGGTTAACAAATACCACTAATAGATATATATTATTTTATCTATACATATGAATAATCCATTTTGAATCTTTTACAGGTTGGGATATTTAGAACACAACTAGCATTAGTATTGCTCGGTATACCAGAAGTAGATGAACAAGAAAATTGTTATAAATTAGACAAAAAGCACTTATCAATTGAATTAGAAGGGACAGCAGAACCACTTCCAATAGCAATTGAACCACCAATTTTAATTGTTCCTGGAAGGTGTTTGCTTGATGTTCCTGTGTACCGTACTGTGCAGGTATGCTTTAAGAATGAACATGAATTCTTTGTACTACGTGAGAATAGGGTTTTATACATACAGTGTAATTTTTCAATAAAAAATGTAGTATTTTATTTGATTTAAAATTTACGATGTGTAACAAGTCTGATCGATGGTGTTAACATTGAAAAACATATTATATGTCCAAACCACTTTAGTCAATAAAGATGTACTTCCACATTAAGTGACTCGCCATCTGTAACTAGTACTCTCCTTCTTATATCAATGTTTATCACCTGATAGACCAAACACACTCCAGCATTACCTTTTAAGCACGTGTGACCCAATTTCAGTAGCCTGCTATTATCCTCTATTTTCAAAAGCCAAGTTTTATAGCCTTGAATTAGAAAAGAAAAATTACTGCATAGCTTGCTCGTTTGGTCATTGATATAAGTCAGGTGTGCTTTCTAAATCCATTTCAGGATTTCTTAAGGTACAGTTGAGATGAATATTTTATTTTCATACGTATTTTTATGGTCAATAATTGTTTCTGGAAACTAAAAAGAAGCTTTTCAGAACTCCTAATATATCCCAATTCGTTCTCATAATCTGATTGTTCGAAAACAGGTACCAGTACTAAATATTCCACTTTCAAAACTGTGGTTTTACCAGTAATTGTATAATTAGGCATGATATCTATATCTTACCTAACATTATAAGCTGTATTTCTTCATATCTGCTTCGTTTATTTGGTTCAAGAGTCAAATATTTATCGGAGTTTATAAGTCAGTTTATTAATTCGTGTTTTACATTTTTTGTGTAGTAAATATGAATATTCCAATGGACTTATAAATGACTCATGATCTCAACTATTAAAATTACTATAATATCCACAAAACCACTTCTGATATTAATCAACATATGCTCACTAGTGACTGGCTCCATGAGGTATTTCCTGGAGTTCTAGTGAGAAACAATAACCAGTGGAGTTCAACGAGGTCAGTTGAGAGATAGTAACTCACTGAAAACATTCGTGGATGGGTATTTCAATTTCATAGATCGGTTAAAGCTAGACATTAACACCATCGGATGCCGGCTCAGTGGTCTAATGGTTAAGCGCTCTGGAGTGAGACTGGTAGGTCCTGGGGGATGCGCACTGCTGAGGAGTCCCATAATAGAATGAAACAACCGTTCAGTGCTCCCAGGTTTTCCATGGTAGTCTAGCTTCAATTGAATCATGATCTCAACTATTAAAATTATAAATGATTTTTCAGTTATCGGTTATAGTCTATCTAAATTACCTTTAGTATATAATTGTTTTGATTTATTAAGAAATTTTCTAACAAGAAAGAAGAAAATTTTGATTCAACTTTTCATTGATAATCACTTTATATTTTTATATTAAAGTTGGTGAATAAATCCACCAATTGTTCTGTGACATTTTCATGGCAACATAATTTTGATATTGAAACGAACACCATCAATTTAAGCGATTGTACTCAATCTACAACAGAAGTTCTTCAATCAAGTAGACAACAAAGTTCAAGAAAATATAGTGAATTAGAAAAGTCAAATGATGCTTTAATTGTCTTAGAACCAACTATAGGTTCAATTGATCCTGGACAATCAATTAATATTGATATCATTATGTCATCTTCAAAATCTACCATGATAAAAGAAAGTATTCCATGTTTTATTAATATATTGCCCAATTCTCCACTTTGGTTGTATATTGAAGTTGAATTTTCTGTAAGTAATCGAATTTTTATCATTTTATTTCAATATATTAATAAATAATTACTTTAAATTAATACGTGTTTCATTCCAAAATCAATGTAGTTTTAAGCATAAATTACTTATGCCACACATATGCCAAATAGAGATTGACCAGTTGCAGTCCTAAACATCAATGGGAAGATTAAAAAAAAACAATACTAAATGAATTTAAACTTCACCCCATCGCACAAGCAAGTGGCTATCAGGACTCAATGGCCGAGTGGATAACGTGATGGCGTTTAAAGCGAAAGGTACTGGGTTAGAGTCCCAGAGTAAACATCAACTCTGAGATGCAGGTACATCTAGATGACCAGTCCCAAATACGATGAAACGTGCGTCAAACTGGATTTTACTGCTAGTCACTATCCAACTTTGCTTACAATGCTTGTAAAATGAGGCTTTATCGAGGCAATACGCACAGTATGCACATATGCCAAATAGAGATTGACCAGTTGCAGTCCTTAATATCAATGGGATGATTCAAAACAAACAATACTAACTGAATATAAATTACTTAAAGTTTGAGAAAGATTGTAACAAAGGGAGGACAAGATAACTTCCTTTCTTGTTTGCTGTGCTTTACATATACAACTCTAAAATTAACTAAACATAAGAACCTAAGGTGTAATGGCTGCTGAGTGAACTTTATATTGATGAGCTGGAATTCAGTGGTTTAGATTACGGGATTCTGCCAGTTTATGTGATTGTAAACCGACTAGAGTTTGTGAAACATTTTTAACATATTTTTTATACTTGATCTTTATCACTTAAGATGCCATGGTTGTTTTGAGAATGTAGCCTTCGTGCTTTTCACATTCTCTTTACTGTTTTTCAACGTTGGGCCCCGGTTCATAATATGGCGATATGATACAAAAGATAATTTTTTAGGGTTGGTAGCAGTTGGTTCATTCTGACTTATGATGGGGTTCTAGTGATCAAGCAACTCATCGAAGTACGATATCATCAGATACAACTCAGAAACTAACAACAACCTTGTTGTAGTGTATTTTCATAATCTTAATAGAAGTAGAGTGGACGTTATTGACTGTCGATTGTTTTTTGAACTGAATTGTATCATTTGATAGACGATGATCTTGTTCATTGATTTAGTAATTTTTTTCCTTTTTCATCTTGTGTAGGGCGTTCTTTTTAGTACCCTCTTGTATCAAGCATTAAAAAAAAACTCGATAAAACTGCCCATCCAAAAAATGTACTGAATTAGTTCTATTTTTTAATAAAGACAAGAAACATAGTTAAAAAGTGCTGTATTGTTGCTCCGGATGTCTGATTTTTTTCTGTAAACGTATTTCTTAAAGGACGATATAATACTTCTTGCATTTAAATCATCCAAGATTGGTACCTATTTTATTACCTTCCGGATACTTTACTTAGTTTAGCATAAGTCATAGAGTTATAAGCATAAGTTATAATATGGCTGGTGGCTAGCACTGGAATCTAGGACGTGCGTTTAGTCCAATTATTGACTCATCAACTGAATGTGTCTCCATCCCAGAGTTGTTGTTCACTCTGGGACTCGACTTTAGTAATATCAAGGCAACCCGCACATGATGCAGGTTTGCCAATAAGAGACTAATTTAACAAATAAGAAAAACAAACAGAAACGTGATAAATGAATAAAATTATAAACAGACGTAACTAGCAGTGGGATGGAGTTTGTCAGTTATGTGTCATAATCAATTCGTTATGGTATAGGAGATGACCTTAAATGCACCATTTATACATCAAAAAGATATCCACTCAAAAGGAATTAAAAGTTCCCGCCCGATGACTTTCATCCTTGTAAAGAGTATGAAAAGTTTACAAGCTAAACAATTTTTGAATTAGAACATTTCAAACAATCAAATATCACATATTTGTGCGCTACATTTATTACTACTTTCTATATCAATCTGATCACGCCTGTAAACTGGTATAAATTCTGTAATCAATGTTATCAAAATATGTATACATAATTAATACTATTACTATTAACGGTTGTTGTGGGTCCTGTCACTTTTTCTAAATCAACGGTGGTTTCATCTTGATCATATTAGTCATTTTTATATACCGAATTTGTTTACAAATATTTTTCATTATTTATTTTAGGGCCCTACTATTGTTTTTGATAGAACAGACTGTAACTTTAGTCTTATGCGTCCGAATGAAACAGCTGAAATGGATGTACTCTTAACGAACACTACTCCCTCTCCAAGAAAATGGTTTGTGAAAACAGAAACATTTATTGATAAGGTAAGAATTAAGTGAAATGATAACTTGTCATTTATTTTACGTTTAAGATAACATTTTAAAGTGTGGTTAAGAGGTTGATAGCATATTACTTTATCAAACAATAGCTTATTTGTATTTGTTATAAAATATATATCGGAAGTTCATAAAATATGGTCTTGTTTGTTTGATATGACTGAAAAGCATAAACATTAGTGTTGGTAATAGAGAGAACTCTTGTATGGATGATGTAAGCCAATTGTTTCGGCAGTCAAATGTAATCTAACGCTGTAATACACCTCTTCATATATAATCCAGTTTATATTGGTTAACTGGACATATTTTTAAGATTTCATGCATCATGTGTTGACCTTATATGCTTCTCACAATAAGACAAAAATAAATTGCTATGCGATTCAATAAAAGTTTAGGTATTGTTAAGAAAATCATAATTGTGGTAAGACGAAACATGATCATAATCCGATACTTTATTTCAGAAAAAATTATGATGTAACAGACATTTCAGCAAATAGTCTTAAGTTGTACTTAGAAGATCATATTCCATATATGGTTTGGCGTACATTTCTTCTTTATATAAAACTGAATTAGTTCATATTAAAGACGTGCTACAAACATATAAATGGTAAGTATGGTTATACTACTATTATATATCCAAATTAATAATCTGAAAAGTGGTCTTGTTTAGGGCAAAGTTCATCGTTTAAAGTTATAGCATACAATTTGGGATTGCTAAACAATATGAAATTATCCGGATTAGGGATTCGTGGAGATTGAGTTATGTTTAAAGTTGAATTCATCAGTCAATCTAAGCTAGATCACCATTGAACACCTGGAAGCATTGGACGACCGTTTCGTCCCTTTGGTGCGGGATCGTTGATGTGCACTTTTGAGGAATCCCATACTAGGATGAAAAGACAGTCCAATGCTTCCAGGTTTTTAACGGTGGTCTAGCTTAGATCGATTCATGAATTCAACTTTAAACAAAATATAATTGTTAGTGTTGAGATGACTAATATACAATGATAACTTGTGTCAGCTTATACGTCAATTGAAATTATGGGATTCATGATTAGAATAAACATGGATCAGATAGAGTGAGAAAAATAATAGTGCAATTACAAATTCCATTTAATGTTCAGTATAAGACTATATTGTGTAAAAAGTTTAGTTAAAGGGAAATTATAAAGTGGAATGAATGCTAAGTGAATGAATCATGTATTCGGGTAATTAATAATGATATTAAACCAATAATAATACAAAGATATGTGAATAAAGATAACAGAGACAATTATATTTGACTAAGAAAGGTTGTAAGTACAATAGTCAAATTAAGTCTTTCAATAGCTACTAACTGATTGACCTGATGCTGCCCAAGATAGGAGAAGCGGTTCAATGTATTTCTTTTGTACTCTTAGCTCCTGTTTCTTGATTCTAATGGCCACTGGTTTCGTCGTTTGAAGGACATTGAGTTAGACAGGCTTTGCCAACAAATTACTGACACGATAATTAGTTGAAAAAGATTAGCTTGTACTGGCACTAGTATCAGTTTTCACTAAATATAGTACTTCAGAGCTATCTACATCATATACTAGACCTTTGCCTAGCCACTCTGGGAAGTGTTTGCAAACAGGAAAGTGTAAATTCCTAGAACTTTGACTAATATAACTTTCTCAACAACATCAGTTGAATCAATCAATACAAAACTAGGTGGTTCCTCTAGACAATTCATCTTTTAGCCTCGTAGTAAACAAAGGTCATAGCTCTTTGACGTTGAATAATTTTTGGATTGTCCTACGCAATCAATGGATTAATAGTTTGCTAGTTTCATCCCCTCTGAATCGTAGGGACATGAACATGGATTTCTTATTTATTGTTGGTATTTCACCTTTTCTAACCTTTGTGATCATATATTTGTTTATAAGCTTTCTGAGATATCAGTTTTCTGTGAGTGTATTAGGTAAGGCGTTTCTTTTCTTCTTCGACTATACCTGTAGAACATATAGTGTGTATTCGATTGTCGAGAGTCATGATCCAGTTTCTTTTGTACTGTAGAGGTACAAGACTAAGGAAATGTATATAAAGTCTTGCCCAAGTATTTTTTCTGTTTAAATTTCTTTTTTATTGATTCATTAACTCTCTTGGTTAAAAGAAAATATTTTCATGAAGAAACCTTTTAAATATTGAAATATATTTACAGTTTCAATCTGAGATAAAAATGCATCCATCTTATGGAGTAATAAAACCCTTTCAATCAGTAAAAATGAATTTATCTTTTACACCACAAGTAACGAGAAGTGTTCGTGATATTATCACAGTACATACTGAAGATTCTGAAGAAACAAGGTAATCATTATTTTCGATAATATTGTACTATTTTTAACAAATTGAGGCTTCAATATTATAAATGAGCAGATTCCCATTATCAAATGTTCAGAAGCATTTAAACGAACTTACCTAGTCGTAAGCCACAGTAAATAGTTCCAAGAATGTTCACAAGTTGATCAATACATGTAATGATGTACCAATTGGTTAATATCATTTTTGTCCAATAGATCTAGAGTCAGTTTCTTACCGGACGAATAATATAACTTGATTGTGTTATGTTGTCTTATTTAGATATCATGCTTCAACCTCACTAGATATAATCACCTTTAAACTGGTATTCTAAAAATAACAATTTGTTTGAAACTGTTAGATTTTTAAATTCACTTGGTATTGTTCGTTTGAATCTTTCCATTGATGTTTAGGACTGCAATTGATCAGTCTCTTATCGGCATATGTGCATACTGTGAGTATTGCCTCGATATAGCCTTGATTCACAAGCATTATTAGCAGAGATGGATAGTGGCTAGCAGTGGAATCCAGGACGCGCATCTCAGAGTTGACGTTCACTCTGGGACTCCAACGCAGTACCTTTTGCTTCAAACGCCATCGTGTAGCTGAGTGGATAACGCTTAGATGCAGGTACATCTAGCTGACGAGTCCCAAATAGGACGAAACGCACGTTCTGGATTCTACTGCTAGACACTAACCATATTTGCTTATAATATTAGGTCTTTAATTTTTATTTATCTGCATCAAGTATGTTATGTTATTTAATCAAATTTATTGTTTTATTTTCTGTTCTCATTGTGGATAATGGATCTAATTAATGTTAGATGCATATAAATATTGAGATCTATTCAGGAATAGTTTAGAAAAATTTCATTTGTTCGTCAAAATCTCACCAGAAACAAGTTTTTTCAGTTATTTATTCAATAGCATCACAGTATACTGACAGTTCAACCAAATGGGAAGACATCCTGAAAATCATATTTCAATAAAGTCCCTTGACAACGAAATCTCTGTGCCACACAGCTTGTTGCTTATAGAAGTATTGGCTGTAGTTCTAAAGAGTAAAATCTCTATTAAAGTGGTCTATTAAAAATAGCGTTGAATATGGCACATATGTTTATCAGTCGAAGTTGATAAAAATTGATTTATCAGGAAAACAGTGAAACTGGACTAAATAAAAAGTAGATGAATGGGTTATATTAACATAAATTGAAGTGACATTATAAATGTAAACAATATAGTTCATAAAGAACAAATAACCAGATGGAACTATAAAATACGGAGTGACATAAGGCTATCTATACATAAGATGAGAAATATTGAATATATCTGTTTCGATGTGACTATCTTCAAGTCGTATCACACATAAGCCAGTAACATAAATAATTAATGGAATAGATTGGTTTAGTTACCTTCATCCTTTTTCAATCTACTCAACATAGAGCGTAAGAATAGTTGATAGCTGGTCTTGTTTTACAATCACCTTGCTCGATGAAGACTGTCAACCACTTTGGTTATCTAATTATTGTTAAAGTTTGCGTGGAAATGAATTCATACTTTCGAAAGAAGACTGGCTTTTATAGAGCCAGTGTATTAGGAATATGCAAATACACAAAATGCTTATTTCGTTTACTTCAAAGGTCACTTGATTGGCAGAGTTCTATTATCATTAGGAATGAACAATACTGACAATGATCAATACTTAATGACGTGTTGTTTCTAACTATCTCAACTCTAAATAAGGAAAGTCGCACTCCAAATAGCCCAGTGGTATTGTCCCAGAATATGTAGATTGGTGACTTCAGTTCAAATCCCCCTAGGAGCATCATTTTGCTCGAGACTCTGGGTATGCAATGCTGACGAGTCCAGTATTGTCTTTCGGCTATGTACAACACATCCGACCAAGTAGTAATAAGTTCATTATAATTTGTGAATGAATAGTTATACTTACAGTTGTATGCACTAAAAATATAGAAATATGTTTTTTAACGATTCGTTTCACTTTTTTTCTTATAGCAAACTTTTAATTTTAGCAGAAGTTCAAACTCCATTGATTGATTTTAATCCACTTCATATTGATTCGAAACAATGTTTTTGGAATGTTCCTGTCACTGAAACAGTAACAATCACAAATTTGAATATGTTGGAATGTGATTTAGAATGGATTGAAGTAAGCAGATTGCATTGGAAATAATACCTGTGTGTAAAGTAAATAAATCTTAGTTGTGGAATGCATATTTTTAATGATTATAAAAGTCACTAAATTAAATGCTATACATTTGGTTACAGTAAGAGGAGTCTCTGGATAAAATATGGAATATGACAACAAATTCACTTGTTGTTGTTTACTTGTATCTTCCTATTGTTATTTTGGACTGCAATTGATCAGTCTCTTGTTAACATATGTGCATCCTATGCGGACTGCCTCGATATTGCCTGAAGTCACAAGCTTTATTAGCAAAGATGGACTCAGTAGCAAACGCGATGGCGTTTGAAATGAACGGTACTGGGTTCACGTCTCAGAGTGAACATCAAATCAGAGATACAAGTACATCCAGCTGACAAGTCTCAAATAGGACGAAACGCGCGTCCTGGATTCTATTGCTAGCCACTGTCCATCTTTGCTTATTTGACAACAAATTTGTTCTCAGTAAAATTTAGTGGCCCACCATTTGATATTAATTAACAATTTTATTATTCTTAATTATTCTATTGATAATATTGTATCAAGACTGTTGAATGTTTTATTAATCATAATTATTTTTATATTTGAAATACTTTTAATAGCCCATTGGAAATGATAAGGAATGGGTTACAATAAATGTTGTCCCAAAAACTTATCGAATCACAGGTCAAAAAAGTCAATTATTTGAAATTTCTATATGTGCACACAAACAGGTAATTTGAAGTAACAAGCATTTTGTGATAAATTATTAATGTTTATAAGAACTTTCGTCTAAATTAGAGCGAATAGTTTCACAGTATTTGGGCGCCGAGTTGATGTAATACATTAAATAGGAATAATATATTTTCAGAGTTGAAAGCATGAGTCAATTGAAACTAGACCACCAAGGAAAACGTGGAAGCACTGGACGGCCGTTTCTTCCTATTGAGGGACTCCTCAGCAGTGCGCATTCATGACCTCGCCTCGCGAGATTCGAACCCAAGACCTATCAATCTTGCGTCAAAGCACTTAACCGTGACGAAGTCGTGGATGCGCACAGCTGAGGAGTTCCACAATGTGATGAAACTGCAGTGCTTCCATGTTTTCCTTGGTGGTCTAGCTTCAATTGACTCATGCTTTTAACTATGAAAATACTAAATCTTCACAGAACTCCTTGTGATAATAATATATTTGTAAAATTGCAGCGAATGAATTTGAAGTAAATCCAACGTTTCAACTGGCAATTTTCTATTATTGTTTTGTCTATTTTTTGATTTTTTCTTTTTATTACAGAAATCAATTGAAGATCTTCAAATCCCATTACGTGTAAATGGATTGAATAAGTTTTTATATTTACCGATTACAGCTACAGTTCAAGGATTGTCAATAACCTATTTTCCATTAAATCAAGATTTGTATGTCATATTCAATTTTAACTGCTACTATCATTCCTTTATTTAAACACAAAAACATTAGTACATAGGGGAACTAAAATATACATCTGTCTTACATTATTATGCGTGTTGGCTGGAATACTGCCCAAGGTGCCAACACCGAAGCAGGTGGGTTTCTTAGGGAGAGATTTGTTTCTTTGGAATCCTTGAGCTCCTATGCACCATAGGGTTTTTTCAAGGTTTTTTAACTCCACCAGATGGATCTTCCGCACCCACCGATCCGGTTTAAGCGCCGCACATTGGAGTAAATAGATTTTCACCTAGTGTTAAATGTAAAATTGTACTAAGTTTTATTTGTTTTCGAAGTGTTCAATAAACATTGAATTCCGCCGGTTAGATTTACCGTTATCTAATTCACTTTATTCTTTCGTTAAATAGTTAAAAGGGAATAATCTATTGTAAAATTGCTTATTTTTTATGAATATGAACTGAAAAATCTTATAAAGAATGCAGAAATCCAACTTCGAATGTTTTCGTATTTTGTTGTGTCATTGTAGAGATCCAATATGCCAAGAAATTTCGCATGAAAATATCAATATTCCAAACAATAATATAAGTGAAACAATGATTTTAGACTTTGGACAAAATGTTGGTCTTTTTGAACCAGTTGAAAAGTGGATTGAATTTAGGAATAATACACCTATACCAACAAGAATATGCGTAGATACTAGGAGTTTATCTACAAAAGCTAATTATGCTGATTATGAGAATTTTCCTAATAAACCTATACTTGGCGCTGCGAAATATTTGTTTGTAATATCAAGACAATCTACTGAAAATCATTTAAGTAGTCAAAATGTCTTACACGACAAGAATGATCATAAAACTCAAATTAGGAATCTTTATGGTATGTTTAATTGTGAACCAGTACGTCTTAATTTAAATTCCACAAATTCTCATTCTGATAATTATCATGTGCTCATAATTCAAGATGGATTTCCTGGAGTTCTATTGAGAAGCCGTGATCACTGGAGTCCAATCCGTGTCGGGTTTGAGACAGTTATCCACCTCAATCAATGGATGAAAGGTTGTAGAAGATCATATATCTATTGAAGTTAGACATTTACACCATTTGATACTGCCTCAGTCTTTTAAAGGACTAAAGTTTGCGTATGAGCTCGAATCTCCTGGATTCGAGTACCTTTCGTGCAGGATCCTTGATGCACACTGGTGAGGAATCCCGTACTAGGACGAAACGACCGTCCAATGCTTCTAGGTTTTCAATGATGGTCTAGCTTAGATAAACTAATTTGTTAAAATTGCTACAATCCCCATAAATACCCATTCTGACATTACGTATACTAGATACTGTTTCATTATATTAAACTTAATTTATGTCATCAGGAGTAATAATATTATTGGCATATATCACACAATGATTCCGGCAAAATGATTATTATACGACTTTATACCACTTTCACTACAACGTTGAAATCACTAGATACAGTGTTCACAAGTTGTTTGTCAAGAGTGAAACCATTATTGAATAATAATCAATTGATTTAGTGGCTTGAACGTCGCCTCATCTAACTCACTGTACTAAGTCGGGTAGGATAACTTGATCTAACAATAAAATACCGAATTAGAACGTAATTGCATGAAGTAATAAGTTCGGTTCATTTTGTCGAATGAAATAAGTATTGGCTTATATTCGTCATACTAACGAACAATTCGGACGCAACCATTTAGGATTTAGGCCAGGTTTAGTGAGCATGACAACCAGGATAGTTCAAACATGTGTTACAGTTGATTAGCGATAGTAATGAGCAAATATGTATATTCTAAAGGATTACGAGTTTCCTAGGTGTTAAAGGTAGAGCTAACTAGTCAAGGATCAAGGTCCAAGGCAGACTTACTTACTTACGCGTGTTACTCCCAATGGAGCATAGGCCGCCGACCAGCATTCTCCAACCCACTCTGTCCTGGGCTTACTTTTCTGGTTCTATCCAGGTCTTGTTCATTCTTCTCATGTCTGTCTCTATTTCTTGGCGTAATGTGTTCCTTAGTCTTCCTCTTCTCCTTTGACCTTCAGGATTCCATGTGAGGGCTTGTCTTGTGACACAATTAGGTGATTTCCTCAAAGTGTGCCCAATCCACTTCCAGTACTTCCTCCTGATTTCTTCCTCCGCTGGAATCTGGTTTGTTCTCTCCCACAGTAGGTTGTTGCTGATAGTGTCTGGCCAACGGATCCGAAGTATTTTGCGTAGATAACTATTAATAAACACTTGTATGATATGAATGATTGCTTTCGTAGTCCTCCAAGTTTCCGACCCATACAGTAGAACTGTCTTGACATTTGTATTGAAAATTCTTATCTTGGTGTTGGTTGACAATTGTTCTGAGTTCCAGATGTTCTTTAGTCGTAAATATGTTGCTCTTGCTTTGCCGATCCTCGACCTCACATCTGCATCTGATCCACCGTGTTCACCAATGATGGTGCCCAGACATGTAAAGATTTCCACATCCTCCAAAGCTTCTCCGTCAAGTGTAATTTGATTGGTGCATATTGTATTGTATCGGAGAGTCTTGCTTTTCCCTTTGGTTATATTGAGACCTACTGTTGCTGAGGCTGCTGCTACACTGGTCGTTTTCTCCTGCATTTGTTATTGCCTTTGTGATAGAAGAGCCAGATCTTCCGCGAAGTCTAGATCGTCAAGTTGCATCCTGTCTGTCCACTGCATCCCGTGCTTTCCTCCAGTCGATTACCAGGAGAAAGAGAAACGGTGAGAGTAAGCAACTTTGCCTTACACCAGTCTTTACTTCAAACGAGTCGGTGAGTTGTCCTCCGTGGACGATTTGGCAGTTTAGTCCATCATAGGAGTTCCATATGATATTGACTATCTTCTCAGGCACGCCGTAGTGTCAAAGAAGCCTCCATAAGGTCGTCCTGTCCACGCTATCAAATGTCTTCTCGTAGTCAATGAAGTTGATATGGAGTGATGAATTCCATTCTATTGATTGTTCCACAATGATACGTAGAGTTGCGATTTGGTCTGTACACGATCTATCCTTACGAAATCCAGCTTGTTGATCTCGAAATTGGGCGTCCACTGAGTCCTTCATCCTGTTTAACAATACTCTGTTGAATAATTTTCCTGGTATTGAGAGAGGTGTGGTGCCCCTGTAGTTGTCGCACTTGCTCAGATCGCCTTTCTTTGGTATCTTGATGAGAAGTCCTTCTTTCCAGTCTGTTGGTACATGTTCTTCGTCCCAAATCTTACTGAAGATGATGTGGAGTATCTTGGCAGTTGCTGTTACATTTGCTTTCAGTGCCTCTGCCGGGATGTTGTCTGGTCCCGCTGCTTTGCCACTCTTGATTTGTCTAATGGCCATGCTGATCTCCTCAATTGTTGGTGGGCCAATATGGATTAGAAGGTCTGTGGGTGCTGCTTCGACGTTGGGTGGGTTCAGTGGAGCTGGTCGATTCAAGAGTTCTTTGAAGTGTTCTACCCACCTGTTTCGTCCGTCCTTGCTTTTCTCTGGTCTTTCTGGCTTACGGTAATTTCCAGCAAGTTTCTTTGTTTTATCATACAGTTGTCTCATGTTTCCCTCTCTTGCAGCCTTTTCCGCTGTCATTGCTAAATCTTCCACACATATTTACGTTTGTCGGTTCTCATGCTCCTCTTCACTTGCTTGTTTATTTCTGTGGATTCGGCTTGTGCCTTGGCTTTTTCTGCTCCTATTCGGCTAGTATTGATTGCTGTCTTCTTGTTCCTCCTTTCTTCAATCCTATCTAGTGTACCAACAGTGATCCATTCCTTGTGATGGTGCTTCTTTTGGCCCAGAACCTTCTGACATGTTGAAACGATTGCCTCCTTGATACCTTTCCAGTTGCTCTCCATGGTAGCCCCCTCTCCATTGAGTAGGTCATGAAAGGCCTGGAACCTGTTGCTGAGAGCTCTGTTGAATTTGTTGAGTTTGTCAGCATCTCGAAGAAAGGCCGTATTAAACTTTTGTGATGTAGTCCGCCCCGTTGTTCACTGCTTCTTGAGCTTTAGTTTCATCTTGGCGACCAGCAAATGATGATCGGATGCTATAGCAGCTCCTCTTCTGGTTCTCACATCCTCCATCGTCCTCCTGAACTTTTTGTTGATGCGGATATGGATGATTTGATTCTGTGTAGTGTGATACAGTGAAATCCAAGTGGCTTTGTGTATGCTTTTGTGTGGGAATATGGTGCCACCTATGACCAGTTTATTGAAGGCACATTGGTTTGGAAATCTCTCACCATTTTCTTTCCTTTCACTCAGTCCCATGACGTATCCAGTGTTGTCCATTCCAACCTTGGCATTGAAATCTCCCATCAGAATGGTCAGGACCGTTGCTGGGCACTTGTGATCGATTGACTGCAGCTTATCGTAGAATTGGTCTTTAGCATCTTCATTGTAGTCGTTGGTAGGCGCATAGCATTGGATGACGTTCATTGTAATGCCCTCTCTCTTTGTTTTGAAGGAGGCTTTGATGATCCTTCGTCCATGAGATTCCCATCCAATAAGTGCATTTTGTGATTTTCTGGACAGCATCAATGCAACTCCTTGTGTATGTGGGTCATTTTCTTCTTCATGACCGGAGTATAACAGAAGTTTCCCTGAAGATAGTCTTTGTTGTCCAACCTGCGTCCAATGTGTTTCACTGATTCCAAGCAACTCGAGGTTGTATTTTCTCATTTCTGCAGCAATTTGGAAGACTCTTACGGTTTCCCACATTGTCCGGACATTCCATGTACCTATAAAAATTGTTGCTCTGGTTGTAAGAAGGTGCATCGGCCTCATGACTTCCGAAGGAACTCGGCTTTCATCATGAAGCGTCATAATTATTCCTTCTACTCCCATGGCAGAGTTTAAATGGTTTGAATAATTTTTTCTGGTTAGTGTTTTTTTAGCGAGTTGGTTTTCTATGGGATGGGGTCGCTAACCCTATGCTCAACCCTCCTCCTTTACCCGGGCTTAGGACCGGCAGTAACTCCCGGAGGATGCAGACTACAGATAACAAATAAAGTTTTTTAAAAAATTATTCTGAAGTACTAATTAGTGAAAATATGTAGAAGACTTGTAACTCGAGTGGATAATTATTTGGCGGAGTTTCATCCTCTGAGATGGGTGGTTTAATATCGAAGCTTTTATTGTTCTTCTTTACCATATCATCAGAACAAACATCAGATAGATGTAAACAATTACAGAACAAGGGTTAGAAGTAACCAGTCATGATCAGGGTCAGGCATAAGTGAAGCTTGCCCCGTTGACAATTAAAGCTTGACTTTTAAACCGACCAGCTCAAAGGACAAAACTCTACCAAAAACAGTGGCAATATTTTGAAGTTATATGCTCCATTGAAATTACCATATTAAACTTCATTTTTCATTTATTCTTCGATTTTCAGATTGGTGTAATTTATTATTGAAACGGTCGAAAGGCGCATGTGAACTAGCACATTCAGCTATATCATCCACCAATTATATAACTGATTTTCAATTAGCCGAGCTCAGACCAATTACCATTAGTCAGTATTCAACTACTCTATCAACTATTCCATCATGGTATTTACCAGGATATGGTTCACTAAGGATTTGTTTCATATGTGTAGCCAATCTATGGGGAGTTTATGAAGATAACATTCAAATTTTTGTATTGCCAGAATTTGACCTTACATCTAAATCCTACCTATCACCTGTTGTATTTTGTACATCTTTCAAAGTAGTTGGATGTCCAATTTATTCTTTAGCCGCAGGTCATTTTGGTGAATTGTCGAATAAAGCAATAATGAATACTGATGCAAAGAATAACTCAATATTTCCTAAAACTGCTTTACCATTCAAAGCTTCTAGACAATTTATACGATTCGGTAGTGCATTGTTTAATGGACCCGTTGTTAAGCGTCAAATACGTTTACATAATTCATGTGAAGCTGGTAGGTATATATGTATACTTAAAGTTAATTTGATTACAAAATTATCAAAACTATGAGATCATGAATTTTCATCGACTGAGATAGTTGGGCCACATGTTACGTATGCCTGAACACCGATTACCAGGATGCGCTATGCTGACTAGTATTGGTGATGGTTGACAGAGAGTTAGGGGTGGTCAAACCAAAACGTGGCATCAGTGCTTGAAGTCACTAACCTCTAGTCCGAGCCATGTTGGTAGATGCAGACTACTTAGTTGTGGTCCGCACGATCATCCTAACCGATGATTGGAGACTGTGTGACACGGCCCAGAATCGATCACAAGGGTGTAGGTGTATGCACTTCCTGTCTTCCCTTAGACCGTGGAAGTAGAATTGCTTCATATCTATCTTTCTTTCTCTATTATATCCTTATAAACAACCTTTCTTTTATATGTAACCACCACTAAATTAACTACTTCTATGAATTCGGAGTTTATCTTGTTGTGCTAATGGGCTATTGCAACTTCGACCAATGTGTCTGGTCCTACGTTATAGCTAACTCACCGAAAACTATGATCATCTTTGAAAAATCAGTTGAGTGGAACTCGTCACTATAAATCACATTCATTGAATATGAGAAGGCGTTTAACAGTGTGGATAGGAGAACCTTATGAAAACTTCTTCAACACTATGGTGTACTTGAGAAGATTGTCAACATTATCCGGAATTCAGTGTAAAGTCTTGTGTGGAGGACAGCTGACAGACTCATTCCAAGTGAGGACCAGAGTCATACAAGGTTGCTAACTCCCTCACTTCCTCTTTCTTCTGATGGTTGACTGGAGCATGAAGACCTCTACATCTGACGGGAAGCATGAAATCAAATGGATACGTTGGATGCAACTAGAAGATTTGGATTTCTCAAATGACCTAGCTCTTCTATCACATACATACTAACAAATGAAGGTCAAGACAAACAGTGTAGCAGTAGCCTCTGCAGCAAAATACACAAGGGAGAAGGCGAGATCCTCAATCACAACACAGAGAACACCAACCTAATCTCACTGGATGGAGACAGTCTGGAAGAGGTGGAAGATTTCACGTATCAGGGTACCATCATCGGTGAACATGGAGGATCTGATGTAGACGTAAAGAAAATGATTATAAAAGTAAAGACAGCATTACTACAGTTGAAAAAACGTATGCAACTCAAAGCACCTGCAATATGAACGTCAAGACGGTTCTCTTGTACGGAGCTGAAACTTGGAGAACAGCCACAACTATCATCAACAAGTTACAAGTATTTATAAACAATTGTCTACGTAAGATACTCAATGTCCGTTGGTCGCATACCATCAGCAATAACCTATTGTGAGAGAGAACAAACCAACTTGCAGCTGAAGAGGAAATTAAAGAAAAACTTTGGAAGTATATAGGACGCACATTGAAGAAATCATTATACTGCAACACGAAGTAATCGCTAACTTGAAATCTTGAAGGTAAACGAAAAAAGGGAACGACCAAAGAACACGCTGTGTCCAGAATTGAAAAAAGATATGAAAAGAATGAACAGCAAATGTAAACAACTTGAAAGGATTGCTCAGTACATAGTTGGATGATAAATTCTGGTGGGAAACCTATGCTCCATTATAAGGATTAACCGATGTAATTAAATAAGTGAATACATTTTAACCATTCAAAGGTTTAGTGACTTACATTTGCTCGATTACCAACAAATTAGAAGTTTATGAATAATTTGTAAATGATCTCAACTTTATGAATGAGGTTTAAATGTTATATTTGTACATATATAAGCATAGTGTTTTCTAATTAAAGCTTACACTGAAACCTGAAAATCTATTTGAACTGTCCCTAATATATTACCATTATAATCAGTTTAATCTTTAATATGATTTACCAGTCATTAGAAAAATAATTTCAGTTCAATTTTTCACCTTAATTCAACTGTTTTTTTTTAAAAAAAAATTATTTATTAACACATAATAGCTATCAGGATTGATTGGCAAATATTTTTGGATTCAAAAATAGAAGATCATAATCAACTGATAAACCTTTTATGTTTCATATCAGAACCTTTTAAAAACTTTTCTTATAATCAAGTGAACAAGGAAACATCATTGACTGATGAACATTTAATACAGATGGAAAGTAAGTTTTGCTCAAAAACATCATTATTATCGATCTAGATCAACTTCATGTATAACAACAACAAAAAATTGTTACGAAATTTACAAATAATCGATATGTTTTATTAGTAACCAAAAAGTAAACATTAGACCTTAGCAACAATAAAGAAGAGTAAATTTAAAAAAAATTGGAATTTATGAAGAAAGATTTTGTCATGGAACTGTATTAGCCAATAGAATTATTGAACTGTTCTAGGGTTTATTTAATTAACTCAATGTATTCGAAATCTTTCACTCAGAATAGAACTTAGAACTGTTAAATCTTTAGATGGGTAAGGTAAAATCGACTTATTAAATAATAATACAAAAATTCATTGTTGTATAAATATTTATTATTAGAAGGGGTTTTGTGGAGATTTAGTATTTTTCATAGTAGAAAGCATGAGTCAATCGAAGATAGACCACCATGGAAAACCTGGAAACACTGGACGGCCGTTTCGTCCTATTATGGGACTCCTCAGCAGTGCGCATCCACGAACCCACTCTCGCGAGATTCGAACCCAGGACCTACCAGTCTCGAAATGAAGCCCTTAACCGATAGACCACTGAGCTGGCATCCAACGGTGTTAATGTCTAACTTCAACTGATCCACGAAGTTGAGCAACCATTCACCAATTTTCATCAGTGAGTTCCTATCTCACGACAGACGTGGTTTGCACTCCACTGGTCACTGCTTCTCACTAGAGCTCCTGGATGTACTTCCCGTATAAATATTTATTTAAAGAAATTCAGTGCGAAATATTATAGATCATGAACCTTCTTAAATATTAATCGATAAAATCATATTACATTGTCATTACTTTTATTGATCATGACAATTGGCATGTTTATCAATAAGCTGTTTTCTTTAGTTTACAAACCTTAGTTTAGTTTAAGCAACTAACTGAAGAGGTTTTGTGGATATTATAGTAATTTTGATAGTTGAGATTATGAATGAATTGAAGCTAGACTATCATGAAAAACCTGGAAGTACTGGACGGCCGTTTCGTCTTATTATGGGACTCCTCAGCAGTGTGCATCCACGATCCCATCCTGTGAGATTCGAACCCAGGACCTATCAATTTCACGCTTAACCACAAGACCACTGATAGGTCATTTATATACTTTTTATCCGATCCCGTCAGAATCGTGTTCAAATATCAATGAATATTCATACAAAGTAACTGATCAGGCTATACTATGCTAATACAATACTATTTATTCGTAATCAATATTGAATTCTTTTGTTTGAACATTATTTTAAGTTCATTCAAAACCTAAATTATTGTAAGACACTTATTTTATAGTTCGTCCACAAATCTTTAAAATTAAAGTCTAAAGGTTAGACCTGTTTGTTGCCAGCTAAATCATCGTTCCTATGAAATTCTATGCTATAATTATAAAAGGCGTATGAAGTTTCTTGGTGATTTTGCTTTTTTTTCTAGGTTATTAGGTTCGTTCGTTTAGAAGCAATAAATACTGTATAGTCGTAAACGTTTAGGCTCTCACCAACTACAGTATGATACCGATGCTAACCAGAAGCTTTCGGAATGTTTCTCTTTCCTAGTTCTAAAAAGATATACTAAGCTTCTTCAAATATTGAATTGTGGCCGATTATTTCACTTTTTCTGACGATTATTAATCGGTACAGTAAGCCATTCTTAATTACATAGATTGCTGCATGATATTGAATTTATGAACTTAATTTTCAGGCTTATTTATTGCCCGTCATATCAATTTTCGGTTGACAATTTCGGTCAAATTATCATCACATTTCTGTTAATTCATTTGATAAATTAACTTTCTAAATACTTTAGTCCCTTATTAGTCTCTCTGTTACCATTAACTAAATCATGACTTCTTAATTGGCATTGATTTTTCTATGGATTATAAAACATGTGATTTCACACATATGATACAAACACTTCTATTACATTGTCAGCCATTCCTTGTTAGTATTATCATGGTTTAATAGTTTTAATGAATATTTAAGCTAATGATAAAATTTATTAAACAAGAAAGAATAACTCGCTGATAAATAATTTTTGGCAAGTGTAGTATTCTGTAGATGGTAATTTTCATGTTAAACTAATGTTGAATGAAAAGGCATTCATAAAAAACCAGTGAGTGCTAAACAGATGTTCCGTGGTAGTTTTGTATTTCTCAGCAATGTGTATCAATGACCACTCACAGAATTCAAGTCTAGAACGTTCAGTTCCTTTGAGTTATCATGAAGTATATAAACTAATAAATTACTTATAATCTGATGAAAGCTGTTAACTCGAATATTCGTGTTTGAATCAGAGGTCGTGACTAACTGTCAACAGAATTACCAATTTAAAAAAAGGATTCATAGCTTTTCTGTTTTAGTTTATTTTGTTTTGAACACGCTTTCAAAGATGAAACCTTTTTTGACTTCCTGTCTGACTTGTCCTCATGCCTATTTTAATAACAGAAGATAAAGCCGTTGAGTGTGTTGACCACTTTACTTACATTCAAAGTTTGAATTACCCATTTAGGTTGATGAATAATGAAATCTTTACATGGATTGGAAAAGCTCATGCCCATGTGCACCATTGGCTTGGAATCAGGATTTTTCAACTCCCCTAGGTGGACCCTCCGTGTCCACCAACCCGGTTAAAGCGCTGAACATTCGTTTTTCGTCCTCTCACTTTCGTAAACAACAGTAATGCCACGAGAAGGCAGTGAGTAGGACTTCTCTGTCAGAGGCTATATATTCGCTGGCCATGTGAGAGCATTTGGAGAGGGAGAATTGACTCTCCCCACTCTCGGCCGTACCAGGGCATTTGGGGGCTGTGAAATATAGAATTCAAAATTGTAAAACATGAATAAATTATTAGTGTTTAGTAACAGTTACTTTCATAACATAATTAATCAACGACAAACCTACTAGATGAGTAATTATTTGCCTAGGTGTAGAATACTCGGTAAAGATGCTCGATCAGCTGAATAAGTCATAAATTCTCATCGACTAAGGTGATTAGGACATGATTATCATTTTGTATGTGACCGACTACTTGACTATTTCGTCAGCTTAATGATCACTATACTGATAGAAACTAGACAAATAAACCGTTTTTAATTACAACAACGATGGTTGCACATTAGTTTTTTGGTCTGCAAAATGCTGAAAAAGATTGAGTCTTCTTTTGTGTGTCAAAGACATTGAACTAAAAAATCTTGTTTAGCCGTTAATTAGGTTAGAAAAGTTACCAATTCAGTGTTTCAGTTTATAAAAAATATTGATTTATTAACATAGTTACACTAGCAATAATCATTAATAAAATGTCTACTTTTCCACCTACGTTTTGTCATCTTTCGTACACACACACAAATATATATATATATATATATATATGGGTTTACTTTTACTGATGCAATAAACCATACAGTTTCATATTTTGACGGTCACATCCTACGCAAATAGTTATACTAAGCTGTTTTTATTCCTAGACAGTGCACATTCCACTGAATGGTTCAATGAAAAAATTTAGTTCAGCCCTGGAGTTTTTAACGCTTTTACTTTTAGTTAGAGATTCATATTGAATGGCTTACTTTCCCATTGTATTACACAGAATCTCTTCTTTGTATCTATCTAAGAATTTTACTTAGATATCCTAATTCAGTTAGGCGTTTTGACAGTATATAACCATTTAATAGTTGAATTCATGAGTCGATCTAAGCCAGACCACCATTGAAAACCTAAGAGAACTGAATGGCCGTTTCGTCCTAGTGTGGGACTTCTTAGTAGTGAGCATCCACGATACCGCTCGCGGGATTCGAACCACATTCATTTCTTTTTAATCACTGAATACACTTTTTCGAACATTGGCACTAAATTTCGCTGACAATGATTTTTTAAGGTGTATCAATTATTTCTATAGATAACTGGTTACTGATCATTGCATCACTTATAAGCTGATGTAATTAGTCTGGTTAGTACTGATAAACTAAACAGGATACTGTTGATCACTTCAAAAACCAATTTATATAAGTGGCATGAATTGAAAGGAGATTGATTGGTTAATGTTGGGATTAAGCTAAATGCTGGTCACTTCGACATGTACATCTGTTTACTGTAATTGCAGATTAACAGCCTCCAGCTAATGATTGTAACCTAACGAGACTGTTATGCAGATAAAAGAAATAAAATAAAACTGTAGAGGTAGTCACTCAGTAATCCAATGTATGTATATAATTTGTGAAGTAAATGAATAAAATGACTTAAATGAGATATATGATTCTTTACTTACGCTCTATTCCGTACAGTAGAACTGTTTTGACTTTCGTATTGAAGATTCTGACTTTGAGGTTGGTTGACAGTTGCTTTCAGTTCCATATCTTCTTCAGCTGTAGGAATGCGGCCCTTATTTTGCTAATCCTTGCTTTTACACCTACACCATATCCTCCTTGTTTATCGATGATGCTGTTTAGTGAGGTAAGTGAAAGTTTCCACCTCTCTCAGAACTTCTCCATCAAGTGATATTGGGTTGATTTTTGTGTTGTGTTTCAGTGTCTTGGTTTTTTATTTGTATATGTTGAGGCCTAAAGATGCAGAAGCTGTAGCTACACTAGTTGTCTTCATCTGCATTTGTTGATGTGTATGGGATGGAAGGGTCAGGTCATTTACGAAGTCGAAATCGTCTAGTTGCAACTAATTTATTCATTGTATCCTGTACTTCTCCCCCACCTGTAGCTTTTCTAGGGTTGCTGTCGGTTCAAAGCCTGGATAAGGGAGGAGAGTTAGACATGAACCTAGAAACTTTGTCCTGCAGAAAACAACTTTGCTAATAAACGATAATCAAAATAAACAAGGATTTATTCCTCAATGATCTATTTATTTCGTTCTTAGTCATAAACTTAACGATATCTAAGTTATTTCCAATTGTTTTTTTAACCGCTTACTTATCATGTTTTATGGTGATCACTCGAAAAGTGAAAGATTTTGAAAAATTCAATAAA